TCTTGGGACCTAAGGTGTTAGTACTCAGTTGTTGTAAACAAATGCTTAACAAAAAAGATGGAAAAAGTCAGGAAAGCACGAGCAGCTAATTAATGGAGCTCCAGTGGCCAGAGCTGAAAACATTAGATTATTAGCATACTGTGCAGAAGAAATAATAAGTATTCACTTGTCTTCACTAATGCAAGTGACCAAATGCAAAGATAAGGGCCCCTCAGCATTGAATTTGGACTAACATGTATAAGAGAAGGAAGTCAAGTGCCACCATCAGGCAGACCCTGCCCCCCCCCCCCCACAATGGCAACAGTTACAAATGGATCCCCTTGTTGGATCTGGGACCCAAAGATACACCCTGCTGCTATGTGTCTGTCATTCCAATAGTTGACATTAAGGTCTTTCAAAGCTCTTGTTAATTTTATGTAAGTCCTTGGCATAAAGTTGTGTATGATGTTATCTTTTGTCCTTTTACTGTTTGTTTGGTCTGTAGTTCATCCCCTCTTCTTGATAGTGTTTCATCATCAGATTGCTAAAGCTTTGTCAGTCACATTCATTTCCCCCTTTCCTTTCGGGGTTCCTGATAGGGCCTCACTGTACAGGACAGTCTTGTGTTCGCTGCTTTCCTTAGGTGTCCTCCACCACGCTCGGCCTTATGTATCTAGCCCTTCCTTCCTTCCTTCCTTCCTTCCTTCCTTCCTTCCTTCCTTCCTTCCTTCCTTCCTTCCTATTGATTTGATTTCTACTCTTTGCTGTTGTCTCTTTGTTTATTTGTAATTTAGTTTGTTCTTGTCTAATTTCTTAAAGTGAAGCCTACCATCACTGAATCAAGAATGTTTTTTTAACACAGGGATTCAGTGTTGAGAATTTCCCTCTGGGCATTTTGATATCTTGTGTTTCCATTTTCATTCATTACAAAGTGCCTTCCAGTTTCTTCATTTGTAAAGTGTTCTTGTTGTTGTTTATTTTGAGGCAGGTTTCCATGTAGCCAGCTCAGACTCTGTGTAGTTGAGGATGGCCTTGAACTGCTGATTCTCTTGCCTCTACTTTCCAAATGCTGGGATCACAGGTGTGTGGTGAACTGAAATGTATTATTTAGTTTGCAGATATATTGGGTTTTAAAAAATACTTTTCTGTTATTGATTTTTAATTTAAATTAATTGCAGTTTAGTGAGATAAGTTTATATTATGTGACTTGAGTCCTTTTAAACTTAATGGTTTTTGTTTTAATGGGCCTAAAGGTGTTCTGTTTCAGTGCTTGCTGTGTGTTAAAGGACAATGAAGAAAGTACACCCCACTGCTTTTGTATAGTGAGTGTTGTGTAAATGTCACTGAGTCACCTTGAGATGTGTGTGTATATTCTATTATCCTGCTAGTTTTCTGTGTGCTGTTGTGACAGTCCCTGAGAACAAGCATTGAGACCCTAGTTGTAATGGTCGATGTGCCCATTTGCTTCATGCTTTTCCTAGTTTTGTTTCTAGTGTAAAATGTGGTTTTCATCTATTCTTCAGCTTATTGATCCTTCTGCCATTAGGACATGGGCCTCTGCATCCTATGTGATAACTTGAGCCTAAAGTTTATTTTGTCTGATGCTAATGTCTCCTTCACAGCTTGCTCTTGGTTAATATTTGTGTATTACTTACTTTTATTGTTGTTGTGACCAAATACTTGACAGCTACAAGGGAGGGGAGGGAGATTTACGTTGGCTTATGATTTCAGAGGGTTCAGTTGATGATGGTGGGGAGGGTGTGGCAGAGCAGAGCGGTCAGGTCATGGTGGGCTAGGAAGTAGAGAAAGGTGGGCTGCTGGTGGTGGGCCAGCTCTTCCAGTTCCCTCTTCATTCTCTGGGTCTCTCAGTCTGTGGGATGGTGCTTCCTATATCAAGGTGGCACTTGGTCCCTGCTCCTAGAAAGACCCTCACAGACACACGGGGGGTTTCCTCATCATCTCTTGGGAGATTCTAAGTGGAGTCAGGGGCAGTGGAGCTTACCCTGCATGGTTTGTGTGATAGATCTTTTCTTATCTTTAGTTTATTTGTGACTTCATAGTCAAGTTCAGCTCTGTCAGGAATGTATTGTGTAGCTTTGTCATCATTACCATTGTGTGAATATTACACAGGCTAAGATGACCACATTGTCACATGGTGATCATTTTTAATAACCACTGCTGTATTTGGTATATGCAGTCTGTTGTTGACTTGAATGTCATTGTGTGGCATGTGTCTGTATTGAAAATGTGTTCGTGTAGGTAGCACATTGCTGGGCTCTGTTGCTTGGGGAACACTGATGTTATATAAAATGAGTGACTTTCTGTCTCTACAACATTTCCAGTCTAACCTCATGGTGGTTGTTTCTACTTGGTTCAAAAAATTACTCTTTTATTAATATATCTGATAAGCTTTGCCGCTCAGTGGAGTGTCTGGGTGATTTGACAAGGTTGCAGATACAGGTGAGAGTGGGCTCAGTTGTCCTCGATTCCCAAACTTAGAAGCGTTCTCTCTTTATCCTCCTCTTTAAATTGTTGTCACTGTTTTTAAATCTTAACATTCTGCATTTATTAGACTTTTTGTTAGACCAGTGTCTTTTTTGAACTGTGGTAATGTTTGCATTATGCATTTTTGTAGTGTATTAGTTATGAACTTCATTCTTCTTCTAAGCTCTGGTATTTCTAGTGTTCAGTTTTGCCAAGTATTAGTCCTCCCAGAACATATGTATTGTGTCACAACACAAACTCTTGGGTTCTGTTACAAGGGACTCCTCTCCATCAGTGGTGCTTAGAGAGCTTGCTGGAAGCCTTGGGTGGGAGCTGTAACCCTGGCAAGGTGGGCTTGGGTGGTGCTCTGGTCTGGAGGGTCTGTTATTTGAGGAAAACCACAGCCCCCATCTGGAGTCTGTCAACTAGGTGTCCAGTCTATCTAAGAGCACACCTCTGTCTTAGTCAGAAGAAAGTTTTTTGGAAGTTTGGCTAGACATGTCTCAAGAAATGAGGATGCACGGGGTGAGGGGTGGGGTGGTCAGAAAGAGGATCAGGCCAAATGAAGGTACACAAGGGAAGCAGTGAAGAACAGTGTTTAAAGCTTACTTAAATGGCATCATGACCACAATAAAGAAAGCTGATACTGTGGAAGATCTCAGCAGTCACGTGCAGAATGTACCAGAGAGGCCGCCTGGGAATGCAGAATAAACAACAGATGTGTCTGAGGCAAGAGGGGTGGGGTCTGTGGAGAGAGTCCAGCAGCAGTATAGAATCTCTCAAGAAGCCAGAATGAGTTGAATAAAAATAATCAAGGGTGACTGAGCATTTTCCAGAGCAGGAAGATGGAAATGTGTTCAAAGGGTCTTGCTGTGAGCAAAACGAATCAAGAGACTCTTATCAGTACACCGTCTGACAGTATTTTTACATTTCCAGACTAAAGAAAAAGACATGGTAGCATGTAGGCAGAAGAAAATACTCAGCCCTAAAAGTTATGTAGACGGAACTTTGGGGTGGCTGGCCTTTTGCTATTCCAAGGGAACAGTGTTACAGGATGAATGATGTGGTCTGAGACTGTTATACCTAGCCAAGGTGTGACCTTGTGCAAGATGGCTGCAACGTTGCCAGAGTCATGGGGTTTGCAGAATTATGCAGGAGTAAAAGTTCTGAACTTATGGATAAAGTGTCATGGTGCTATTGGGTACATATCAGTTGTCATAAAGATCAGGGTTATGTAGGTGTAGGCAATAGTGCAAAACTGGAAAACACCTTGGAACAGCCCACGTTTAGAGATTGTCCTTGACATGATGAGCTGATTAGTTGCAAGCAGCTGGGAAAAAGACTTGCTTAATAAAAGGATACATATGCCAGACTTGGTAGTGGATGCCTTTAATTCCAGCACTCAAGAGGCAGAGGTGGGGCCAGCCAGCCAGGTCTATATAGTGGGACACTCTCAAACCAAAAGGGTTTATCACATTCTTAAAGGGAGAGATAGATGGAGACAGACCTCAGCAGGTAATGGAGCCAGAATCAGTCAGATAGTCTTGGGTTGGTTTTCATTGGCTTGTCTCTGAAGTGACTGGGTTGTGGAAAAGTCTGGTTGGGGAAGAATTTGTTAAATCCAGGGCTTTTGACAGTGCCCTAAAACCTGCAGTCTTCCCAAACCCTCCCAAGTGTTTACCAAGTGGTGTAGAGTGACCCGGGAAAGGGCAGCTGGGACATAGGATGTATTTCGGTTAGTGGATCCTCTGGGCAAAAGGCCGAGAAAGATAAGTACAGCACAAAGGGTCTGAGTATGGATGTTACCCTAGCATCTGTCTCTTGGAAGGGACTACCCCCAGGTGCCTTTCAGATACTCTTCTGGATGGCCATACATTTCTTATAAGCCTGGGAAAATGTAGTTATAAAGTTAGGCACATGAGAGATAAATTATGGAATTTGAACTAAATTTTATGGTAGCAACTCTGTGCAGAGAAGTCTGCATGGGTGCTTATCAATGGGAAGGCAAGGTGGGGCAGTGGCATTTTCCCTGTGTACTTCATAAAATAGTGTAGCTTGGAATGTATTCGTATCAGTGACAAGGTTCTGTACTGCTTCCTTCCAAAAGTCTGATGGTGGGGATGTTTCTGGAAGGGTGGTTGATAACTCTAGATAAGACTTTTAGCTAGGTTGATTCTCCCCCCCCCCCCCAAGACATTTCTGGCTGTCATAATTGGCTGATGCTACTGGCATCTGGTGGGCGGAGGTCAGGAATACTGCTGGGTTTTTGTCATGAGTGTAACAGCTCCACAGCCCAGCCACTGCGTAGCTGTTGGACGTCAGCAGTGCAGTGGTGATGAGGAACATTGCTCACATGTGATTTTTGACAAACCCCACTGGTTCACGCTGATAGAAATGGTTTGGTGTGAATTGCTTTTTCCGATTCCTGGGTTTATAAACAGAGGAAAGAGTGCAAACCTATTTCCTTAGTTAGGTGGTATTGTCCAGATTCAGTGTTCACATCCCAACTGAGGGCTCCTTTTTCTCTGACCATGCAGGTTCATCTCTGCAGGGCCAGGTGACAACTGCTCTTCTTGTGGATTACTTGGTTTACAAGACCCTGCCAGTGAGACTTCGAGTTTACGCAGCTGGGACCCGAGCCACCTCAGTTTTGTACTTGCATGTGCTGGTGAAAGTTTGGAGCTGGTTGGAGCTACTGTTTACGTGGACATTTTGAGCCATTTTGAACTTAAGGCGCTGACACTGCTAGCAATGAGCTCCCAAAGCCATCCAGGTAAGGCCTGCATCTTTGGTTTCTAGCTCCTCTTTGCAGATGTGTTGCTGCTGCCCCTGCAACCTGCTTGCCCCATTTCAGATTTTGCTTTCCTATGGCTCTTGCTGTTGGTTCGAAGCATCACCAAGTACTCAGTAACTGGGGTTTCTTGTCTTGTGGTTCAAGGGGCTGATGTAGACCTCTTGGAGATTCAGAGGATGCCCTGGCTTTTGCGTGCCCACTCCAAGGGCAGGCAGTTTCCTTGATGCCAGGAAAAACAATTGTGTTTGAGTAGGTGATGGATAAATACCAGCAGGTAACTTGCAGAGTGAGATTCTTGTCAGGGCAAGTGAGGGGCAGTGCTGCTGTGATGACTCTGGGTGGGGTGAAGCCTTGGTTCCAACAGCCAATACAGTGTCTTAGTTTGCTTTCTTTGGTGCCATATTAAATATTTCACAGGCCTTTCTGATTCTCAACAGCCCTAGATGCCTTTAGAAATGCTGGGACAAAGGACTAGTCTAAGGTCAAGGAGCTGGAAGGGCAGAATAGGATTAGAAACTGCATGCTTGGGCCTTAACACATACATATGGGACTTGGACTTAGAAAGTAGCAAAGCATGAACCATGGTAAATGTAGTGAGCTCTGCCTGACCTGCAGAACTTTCAGCTGCCGTTGGCTACTTCTAGTGCATTGTGTAGTTTCTAGAGCTTTAGATGCCAGTATCTGTCCTGGGTACACACAGGAGGCTGGAGAGACGCTAGGAGGGATGCTTGAGGCTCTGTCAGCCTGCCTCTGAGCCTGCTCTATTGGGTAGAGGCAGAGGCTGAACGTCCAGGCCCTTTTCCTCCAGGACTGCTGGGAGCAGAATGGTCACACACACTTCTCTGGGGGCATCATGGCTTTGATTGAGAGCTTCAGGGGGCAGGGTTCTAGGTTTTATTTAGGTAGAAGGGTTTTATTGAGTAAGTTGTTCATGTATTGATTGTTCTAAAGAAGTGGTTTATGGTGATTGAAGGAGAAAGTTAAGCTGTATAGACTGACATGTCTACAGGAGATAGTGGTATGTAGGTATGCTTTCTGTTCTGCAGTGAGATGGAGGTGTGTCTCTTCCCTGTGTATGAACATGTAGTGATATGTGTATCCACATCTGTATGTGAGGTGGATGTGTGTTAGATGTTTTTCTATGTTTAGTGTACTGTGAATATCCTTGTTGTCAGTGTTCACACTAACCTAACATACCATGACAGTTTGTGACTGTGTCTTTATGTGGTTATGTCAGTGTTCACAATAGCTCCAAGTTGACATCACACAATTACTAGGAATATATTATGTACTGAACTGTAAGTGTCTCCTGGATAACTTCTGAAAAGCTGAAGCTGGGTCAGCAGACATACAGGGTTAAAATGTCTTTAGGATGACGGCAATTGCTCCAGAATGTTGTCTAACTCAACTTCTTAATTGCAGTGTGTAAGGAGGCGTAGTTCCTTGCCTTCCACCACTCTGACACTGGGAGATTCAGTCTGTTTTATTTCTGCTAGCCTGCTGGAGAAAATGACTACAGTTTCTTTGCTGTTTCAATGGGTACATACTATATGACCTGATACAGATACAATGAAATCTTCTTGCACACACTATCCAGGCATTTGAGGAAAAGTGTGCTCTTGTTATTATGTTGTTGGTTTAAAGAAGTTTGCAAGTATATCTTAGACGGCATTTAAAATTCTCTCATACATATGCATGGCCTATTTATGTATAAGAATATTTGTACTTTATTCCTAAATGTTATCTATATCTATTAACTCAGTTGGGTTTTTAAGCCAGGATCACTTCTACTCTGTCTTTTTGGTTTCTGAGAAAAGTAAAATGCTCTATTGTAGTTGTAATTTTGGTATAGTCTTTTAACATTATTAATCATTTTTCTCTCTATATTTCAGTGTTTTCTCCCAGTGCTTAATTAAACATTAATGACTATTATTTTGACTAATGAGCTCTCTTAACAGAGTTCAGCGTTTATTTTGTTCTGTAAAATACTTGCCTGTTTTTGGTTAATGGATCTTGTTCTATCTACTTACCTCTGATTTTTCCCAGCCACCTTCTTCAAACCTTATCCTCGTAAACGGGGTCACCTGGATTCTGGCTTTCTCCCTCAGAGACTCTTTCTTTGCCCTTTGTGTGGGAAATTTTACCCACTGTTGTTCACTTATTTCTCTCCCTCCCCTCCCTTCCCTCCTCCCCTCTGTTGAGGGTCAGATCTGGGGCCTCTTGCACACCAGGCAAGTACTCCAACACCAAGCTGCACCTTCAGCCCCTCTGCTCATTTATCTATCCTAGGGCTTCTAGGTGGCTCTTCTCCTTGGGTCAAGGTATGTGTGTCTCTGGATCAGATAGAGCTGCCTTGTGCTGAAACCATTCTTTTTCTCAGAATGCTTGCATATCTATGGCTAGGCTGTTAGTTCAGGGCTTAGACCTGGCTGAGTCTTCTGCCTCTCCAGCCCTCTGGTCTTCTGCAGATTGTTTTCTGCAGTCATAGAACAGGTGTCCTCCACATGGCACCTCACAGCCCTGAATGGCCAAGAAGGAGCTGGCTCTGTGCCTAGGCCATAGGTCCTTACTGGTGATACAGCCCTGCCTCTTGGTCCTGTAGTTTCAGTAAATACGTCTTCTGGGCTTTTCTTATTGTTAGGCATTGCCCTGAATCTTTCCATAGTTTATTTATATTGAATTTAGTGGATTTTTGGAAAAAAGATTTTTCATTTTTAGATTGGGGAGTTTTAATATTGGGAATTGAACCTGAAGGCTTGCACAGGTTAATTGCAGCCTTTCCCACAGAGCTCCTCAGCCTTTAGTTTGCTATCTGTAACAGGAAACTTCTGACTATACTGGTACAGAGCTAGGGAACCAGGATAGTCATGCTGGTCGTTGTCCCTGTCTTGTAACTGTCTGTGACTCCAGTGTCTTCTCTCTGGTCCCATGCCCTGGCCTGCCTGGCTCACTCCTGCCTGCTCCTGTGTGGCCTGGTGCAGTGCTGGTGGCACAGTAGGTCCTGGTGGAGTTCTGTGGCCTTTGGGCTGTCTCTCACATTGGCAGGGCTGATTGGCCTTGGCCTGGTGATGAAGTGGCCTTTTTATTTGCTGTGTATAACTCCTCTCTCCTCTGTTTTCCTTTAAACTCCCTGTGGTGCTGGGTGAGGCCTGCGTTAGGGTTTTATTGCCGTTCTTTCTGGACTTTGCTAGAGCCAGGCCCTGGCTCTCTGACGTAAAAGCCGCCTAGCTGTTGGGATTTATTGCTCTAAATAACTGTTTCCAGTGCTGTGAGCAGCCTGAGGAAAGGGCTTGGGTTGGTTCAATTTGTGGAGACTCTGTGGAAGGAGGTTCTGAATGGTGCTGCTGGTTTCATCCTGCACTGAAGCCCTCAGTGTTGGGATGTGCCCAGGCAGGCTGTGGTGAACTCAGCTCCTGGACTGGGAGTCAGATCCCATGTTCATAGCAGTGTGAGGACTGATGTGTGCAAGGTCTGCTGGAAGAGCAAGCAGCCATTCTTTATTTTCTGTCCATATCCCTGCCAATTATTGCTCTTGTCTTTCTTGATGTTAAAGTGCACTAGGTTTTGGTAACTGGCTGGCTACCAGGAAACACAGCATTGTACCCTGTGTCTGCTGTGTATTTGAACTTCCTTGTTTGAAGGTCTTTGCATAGAGAAAGTAGGTGTCCGCTAGGAGACATCTGTGATGACCTAGTTGATGGCCTCAGGTAGGAAGCCTATCTCTCCCTAGCCAGTGTCAGGTTACAAATAAAGTAACCACTTTGAGGGAAGCATGTGCAACCCAAGACCAGTATTTTAATTTGGTCCATTCTATAGTTTAATAATAATGTCTGTTAGTCTGAACCATCACATGGAAGGGTCTGAAGGCTGTGTCAACACAACATAATGACTAGGGTTGTTCTCCAGGACTCCAGGAAGAGGTCCTCTGCCCTTGGCCTGGGCTGAGCTGAGATCCTCAGGTTCTTTCCATCTCTGTGCTCTAGTCCTTATTTTTGGTTTGTTGTTGTTTGAAGACAGGGTCTCATTGTGTAGCCCTGGTTGGCCTGGACTCACTATGTAGATCAGGCTACCCTTGAACTCACAGGGGTTCTTTTGTTTCTTGCCTCTGAGTGCTGGGATTAAAGATGCATGCCTTCACTTGTATGGTCTTGAGTCTTAGTTATTTCAACCAGCTTGGCTGCCAAAGCTGTTATATCGTAATGAAGAAATTAAATGGTAATGAGCTTGTATCATAAAGGAACTTTTTTGTAGCTTTCACATGTTGCTCTGCAATGTGTATGTTTCAGGGATACTGCACAGTAGGAGAAAGAATGCATTTGTGGACTGTGGTGCATACAGATGTGAGTTCTAGGCAGATGGTAGCAGGTGGGTCGCAGACCTGGTGTAAGAGACCACTGTAGACTATGTCAGTAGGTTCTGCAGGACAGGTGTGTAGGCAGTTAAGGGTAGCTAGCCAGCAGGAGGCCTAGGAGTGTAAGCAAGGAGATATCCTTAGGCAGCATAGTCAGCCAGAGAGAGTAGCTTTGTACAGATCTGGGAGGGAACAGGGAATCACCAGGAGGTAACCACTCTGAGGGTTTGGACAATGGGGAACAAGACTGAGCTGGCCAGGGTCATGGAGAAGTGACCATTTCTCCTGTGCGTGCATCCTATTCTCTGGAGAAGGATGGGAGATGCTTCATGCAGTGGACCAGAGTTGGGTGGGAGTGTGTTAATCCTGGGAGTACTTCAGCCTGTTTTCTGAAGGAAAGGCTTCCAGAATGCTTCGTGTACATGCTGTTGCCTCCTGCCCAGTGCCTAGCACATGCATCTTGCTGGCATCTTCCCAGCCACCACCCCAGTAGCATGTGCAGCTCTCAAGTTGTCACCACCCTGGCTTCTCCATGCTGTGATTATCTGGGATCTTAATCAGTCAAGATTTGTTCTGGAAATCATGTAGACATAAGGACTTATTTTTCAACCTATTTTTTTTTCAACTC